AAATGTTTTTCTTTAAAAAAATATCAAAATGGTTCAAAAAGTCCACCAAAAAATGAATCATTACTTATATATAGTCTTGGTAAAGATATGCCATTTGGACATGTTTCTGTTATAGTTGATGTTTTAAATGATTCAATTCGTGTTGCTGAACAAAATTTTCATGCATATTATTGGTCGAGTAATTATTCTCGACAAATTCCATATATAATGAAAAATGGTAGTTATTATATTATGGATAATTATAATATTTATGGTTGGATGTCAGTTGAAGATAGTAATCAAACTTATCCATTAAATCAATCAACTATAGATAAAATCCTTCGAAAGAATATATCATTTCCTGATTTTATTTGTTCAAAAAGTATTAAACATTATTATTATTCATTATATCAATATCTTGTTTTTTATTTCTTTTATGTCTATATTTTCATTGACTTTCTTTTCTGATCTTGCATTTGAATATACTAAAATCAAGTTTGCTTAGGTATGTTCTTAGTATGAACATATTTATCTTCGAAATCTAATAAAATAAATTAAACGGACTTTATTTTGTTGTTTTTTTCTTTCATTTGAAAGTATCTAAGTAAAAATAATATTTCTTCGCAAGAGTATAAAAATATATTCTTAGAGAGATAAATAAAATTTCTGAGTAAGTGTACATATTAATTAATATTAACTCGATAATTCATTTTCGAAGCTATAAAGCTTCGTAAAGCATTGATTAAATTGATAGTAAATCAATAGTTTTGTATATTGAAGTTTAAAATGATGTTCTTTTTATCGTTTATGAAGATATTTTTGTTTTGTATCAAATATTTCAAATGTCTAAAAAATATTCATTAGAGTAGGACAGTGTCAGAGGAATGACTTGATTCTATTTTCTAAAAGAAAAAAATCGAGAAACACTATTAATTACTTTAAATTTAAAAAACAGAAAAAAAATGTCAATGTTTTGTAGAACTCATAAATATTTTCGAAGAAAATTATGAGTGTAAGTTTTAAGTCGAAGTTTGGAGGCTCTCCATCGCCTCCTCCCTATTACAGATACCCTTCATTACAGACTTTAGAGTGTGGATGTAGGTGGGTGTGGGTGGAGCAAGGGGAAAACAGCTGATTTTTTTGAGGGTGTCAGAGAAAAAATCAAAAAAATCAGAAAAATCAAATGTAACTAATAAATTTTTAATCTCTATTGTTCAAAACATCAATTTACAGTGGAAAAGCTAATATCAGATTTTCTTAATTTCTGTGATTTTTTGATTTTGCTGATTTTCTTTATTTAAAATCAGTTGGTTTTAAATTAGAAAAATCAAGAGGAAAATCAAAAAAATCAAGAGGAAAATCAAAAAAATCAGAAAAATAAAAAGAATCTAATTTCAGCTGTTTCCTGCTTGTATACTGTACAATTATTCTGTTTGAAAAAAAAGGCAGCAGATTTTTATGATTCATTATTAAATTTAAAAAAATGAATAAATAAATATAATATGTACAATATTCAAAATTAACAGTGAGAAATAATTGGTATAAAATATGTTTCAAAAGATCTCATCGTAATGAATGAACTAAAACCAAAATTGTAAAAAATAATTTTTGTTAAATAGAACCACTCATGTGACCCTTATTAAATTTACTGAATACAGTATTTAATAAAGAGGTTGCCATTTGAAAGATTTGTTCTGATTATTTTTGAGTGAGAAAGAAAAAGATTAAACAAATTAATAGCTTAGTTGATTATTTCTCTATCATCTACTACTTTTGATAAGTCACTTTAAATTTCACAACATAAATGTTTCATATTTCAAAAGTATTGAAAATGATCTAGTAGCAGAGACTGTTTCCTTAACAAAGTTCGAAAGCAGGAGGACGTAGCCTAATCAAATCTCAAAGGCAGGGAAGGGTGTTAAGCCCCACGCGCCCCCACCTACTTACATCCCTGATTGAATGAGATAATGTCATTAGATAGACTTCATTAGAGAGAAAACTTTCAAAGCTAAATTAATCATTGTAAAAGATCTTCGTTAAGCATATTTATCTGAGGACACAAATATTGAATTTGTAATGACGTTTAACAAGTGCACTTTTTTGACCTTTTTTTAGTTTGAGTTGATGCTTCAGTTAATCTGAATAAAAGGATGACTTGTGGAATAATTAAAGAGGAATGTAGTTATTCATTTTTTTTTATGGTAATCATGTGTGAAGATTCACTTATTAAATGAAAAAAAAACACAATGTTAATCTTTGATGTATTGTTAATGAAATCGAATTAGTGCTTGAAATAAATTATCTTTTCTCTAATTTTTTTTCTTCTAGTTCAGATAAAAGTAAAGTTTTTTTTAAATATAGAAAATGAGTTAGTGTAAATCTAATTGCGTCACACAAATGCTTTTGATGTCTAACGACAAATGATAGATGATAGAAATACATAATGAAAGGAATGTTTTTACTTGGAAACAATTTTCACAAGATAAAATTTATTTTAATCAAATATTAAAGTAAGAAAAGTCTATCAGAAAAAATTTCTATTTTCATTTATGTAGAATTAGAAAATATGTCACAATTAGCGAATAAACTTCTAGAATTGTCAATTCTAATAAGTAAATTTTATTTAATATTGATATATCTAATTGGTCTATTGGGTAATATATGTAATATAATTGTATTTTGTCGAGATTCGATGAGATTAAATTCGTGTTCATGGTATTTCTTAACGATATCAATATTCAATATAATTATATTGACAGTTGGTTGTCTTTTTCGAATTATAAATTATTTTCTTGGATATGATATATCAATAATTGAAATAGGTTTTTGTAAATTTCGTGCTTATATAGTCATTATTGGTTATATTCTTTCACGTTATTTTTTATGTTTAATATCGATTGATCGATGGATGATAACATCAAAAAATGTATTTATTCGTCGTCAATGTACTCGAAAAAAAGCTCAATTAGTTATCATAATAAGTATAATATTCTGGTTTTTAATCGAAATATTTATTCCAATTGGATTTAATATTCAAGGAAATAATTGTGTACCATCAACAGATCCATTTTATTTATTCATGTATCGAATTATTGATTTATTATGTACTTTATTTCCTTTTTTTATCTTAATTATATTTAGTTTTTTAACATTACATAATATATTAAAAAGAAGAATTATTCCAATTGATGGTCATACTCTTGCCACTATTTCTGTATCTGGAAATAATAATCGTCATTATCGAACATATACAAATAAAGATTATCATTTAATTCGATTATGTTTTAGTCAAGTGATTGTTTTTATTATATTAAATATTCCAGGTGCATTATTTAGTTTATATATGTTTATAACACGAACAAATATAAAAACTATCGATCATTTAACTATTGATTCATTTCTTAATATAATTGCAACCAATCTTGCTTACACTCATTGTGCAGTAAGTTATTATTTTAAATAAATAAATAAAATATTTCTTTATTATATTTTAGTTGACATTTTATTTATATACATTAACATCGAAAGAATTTCGCAAACAATGTTCCTTAACTTTTCGTTATATTCAACGACGATTTATTATTCGATTTCAATAATAAAACATTTTCATTCTTTTATTTAACCCTTTCGTTATATAAATTTTTTTTTCCTTGATTGAAATTCAGTAAATCCTTTTATTAGCTGTTTTTAGAGATAGAGACCAGTGACGAATAGAGAGGTGAGCGATGAAGCGATCGACCCCGCCTTTTCTAGAATCCTCAGTTCATCACTGGATAGGGACATATGTAAAAAGTAACTCATCTGTTTTTGCATGTGATTTATGGTATGTAAGTTATATTGAACCTTGCTATACTTGAACGGAAATTTTAACTGCTGACATTTATCAGTTGTAAAGCTTATAGAATATTTTTATGAAATAACAAAAAAACAATTTTTATGTTGTTTTACACAAAAACTGCATTTTATGTCACTAAAATAGAAAGAAAGAAAAAGAAATAACAACAGAGAAACCTCTAACATACAAAGTAAAAGGGATAAGAGATGATTTCAGAGCTAGATATCAGTACATTACAATTCTGTTTTTGAGTCGATCTATATTTCATTGTACATTTGTTTTTCTAGATGAAGATTGATTACAAACGCCATGTAATATACATTTTTGAGAGATATGATATTCAGAGAAAGACAAGAAGAAAATGGAAGATATGTAGGCAGTGCCTGTAACGTAAATACTACGAAAATTTTCTAGAATACTCTTTTTGAATTGCTTTCAAGAGATTGTACGCTAGTTTCTATGAATTCTGCTATAAAAAGAATAATTAAAAACAAATATAGCTTTTTTTATACTATGATAACGAAAGGGTTAATTAACATATTCGAATTATCATCTTTACTAATCTCCTATCCTACAAGCTTTTTTTGTTGTCTCAATTATTAAATTAAAGTTTCATTGATTATTCTATTAAAATAAGCATAATAAAAAAATTGCGCTTCAATGTTTTTTTTGTTCATATGAGATTGCTTAACATTTTGACATCTAGTTGTATTGAACAAGTAATAATATCATAGATAATAAAATTACTCTAATTAAGCACTTCCAACGTAACGATAGAATAAAAAGATTCCATTCAAAGTAAAGTACAAGTGCATTTATTTGAAATAATTCACATGAATACTGGGATGAGAAAATTTTCATAGAAAAACAATAAAAATGCTAATCTCGATTATAGAAAAGATAAACTTTTGTTGTTTTTTCATTTTCTTGCTATTTTCATAAGGAAGCCCTTACTTCAATTATAATTGTTACAGAGATACAAAAATTATCTTTGCCTTTAGCTACGCTTGTGCGCATGCATTTTCGAGAATTTGCCTGATTTCCGAACTGACATTGGGCATCCACTTATTATATCTACATCGAACTAAAACTAAATCTATTCCTGAATCGATGCCTATATATACAGGACGTCCGGAAAGTCATTAGAGTTAGGAAAATTTGAACATCTCCATTATGGCTCGATCAAACGAGCTCATTTTTTTTATCAAGGATAGAGACATGCTAACACTCCAAATCCATAAGGACAAAGATATTGAGAATCTTTGTTAAGTATCACTATTAACCTCAACAAGAATATTTTACCGTTTCACAGGTAGGAAAAAACCAATATACAAAATAGTGCAAAAGACGTTTCATTGAAAAGAAAGTTGAATATCTCCATTACGGATGTGGGTGTGACTGTGGATAGAGAAAAGAAACACTCATACTCACATCCACACTCACCTCATGGTGTAACTTTTTTAGGTAAATCGGTTTATTACTAGAAATAATTATGATTATATTATTAAATGGGGGTAGAAAATGAAATTTCCTTTTATTTAAAAACTAAATCGAAGTAAAATTCGAGGGTGTGGATGTGGATGCGGGTATGAGTGTTTCTCTTCTGATTGACCCACACCCACACCCACACCCTCAAACATAATTCAATCAGTTATATGTGTTCTACGAGGTCGCTTTACCGGAATTGAGATTAAAATCATCTATGCAATTCATGGTATGACACATACAAATAGGCTTTAGTCACTACTAAAATAAAAAACAACATTTTGTACATGCAGAAGATATTTGGCTAGTTGTTGTCCACTTAGGGCATACCAAAAGTAGTGAGAGTGATACTTTAATACCATATAGTAAACTTAAAGAAACTTTCTTTCTATACAGTTTGATAGAGGAAAAAAAAGGCTCTATCTTCCTATCCTATTTCATCATACTTCAACAAATACCATAATATTAAATTATCTATAAAATCTATTTCTGAACGATATGTGCTG